TTAGCAACAGGTCTGAATCCTGCTGATTATAATTTTACATGGAGCCCTGCCGGTATGGTGGATAGCGTGCATGCGGCGGTAGTAACCGTTACTTCGGCTGTTCATACAACAATCTACTGTACTATTACCAATAAGTATGATCCGTCTATTGTATGTACAAAGTCGATTGTCGTTAATAATCCTTCCTGGTCTTTGCCGGTATTTACCACGCAGAATAAGCTGAAGTGTCCTGCTTCATTAATCAATATTGGTGCTCCGGCATCTGCCGGTTTCACTTATGCCTGGACAACATTATCGGGTAGCAGTGACCTGAATGATCCTACCCTTGCTAATCCGACTACCAGTACCACTACCGACAAAACTTATTTAGTGACTGTCAGGGAAACAGCTACCGGTTGTGTCTCCAGGGATACCGTGGAGGTTGGTGTATCACAGGTAATAGCCATTGTGCAACCAGACCGTACCGTATGTAACGGAGGTACTATCAAACTGGGTACAACACGCCCGGCCATAGGTGCCAACTGGACGTATAGCTGGCAGCCTTCCAATGCTGCATGGGCACCCGGTAGCGGGCCTACGGACGTACAACCACAGGTAGTTTTTGCGACCACCAGCCAGAAGTTTACATTAACGGTAACTGATCCGGCCTCCGGTTGTACCGCTATGGATACGGTAACACTGAAAAGCACGGTTACAGCAGGTGAGTTTGCAGGTCCGGCTAAAGCCGCCTGTGAAGGAACAACGATTCAGTTGGGTAACCCGGCTACAGATGCAACTGCTGTGTACACCTGGACAAGATTGAGTGGTGCGGCAGCACCCGAACTAAGCTGTTCCAATTGCGCCCAACCTACTTTAACTGTTCCATCGGCAACAACTACCTATAAAGTAACGGTAGCTTATCCTGGCTGCAATACACCATCATCAGACCAGGTGACGGTCACTGTAAACGCAGCCCCTGTTTTTACTTTAACAGATCGTACTATCTGTCCATCTGCGGCAACGGCAATCGGTATCGGTGCCAGTGGCAATACGGCATCGCTCGCCAACGTAGCCACTTATGCCTGGACGCCGGCTACCAATCTCAGCAATACGGCGATCGCCAACCCTACCAGTAATGTGACCACGCTGACCACTTATACTTTGAAAGTGACGTACACCAATGGCTGTATACGAACCGATGATCTGGTGGTCACTCCTAATTCCACCGCCAATGCGAAGCCCGATGCGTCTATTTGCCTGGGAGAGTCTACACAAATAGGTACACCCGCCGTGAGCGGAGCCACTTATTCCTGGTCGCCGGCAACCGATATAACAAGTGCTGCCAACATAGCGCAGCCTACCGTGAAGCCGACCACCACACGCACTTATACCGTATCGGTTACAACCGGAGGCTGTACGGCCACTGATGCTGTCATCGTAACCGTTAATGCACCGGCCGATTTTGCAATCGCGGGCAATACAACGATCTGTGAAGGCGGTGCTACTACTTTAGGTACTACGGCAGCAGCCCCCAATACCACCTGGCAATGGACCCCGACAACAGGTATTGCCAGCCCCAATAGTCCGACAACTGTAGTTACTGCAAATGATACAACCACCTACCGTCTTATCCAGACCAATGTACTGACAGGTTGCAGCAATTATAAAGAGTGATCCTGGTGGTGAA